CACTTGCTGTCTATCTGAGAACAAGGCACAACTTGCTATTGCAATAAACTATAATCTAATTATCCACACCTAACAACTGTTGCACTTAATCTATAATAAAATGATGACAGAAAAATGTTATAGCACTGCCTTTAGTAGCCTCACACAGCTCCTACTGTTTCCTCCTCATGTCCTTACCAGCCATGTCTGGACAATGTTATATCGTGAGTAATAATTTAAAAAAATCCATATACATAAAACACACACATGCACGCACACACAGTGACATTTTAGACCTTCTTCAGAATATTGTATATACTATGGGCATCACTGTGCTGATCCAGAATCCTTACATTATTATTTATTACTAGAGCTACAATAATAAAGCAATGAAGAGGGGGAAGTAATAAATATGAAATAATGTCATTATGATGATTCCATTTCTTTCACTATCCACTCTGTGCAGGGGAAAGCTTATTACATTTTTAAACTGTAGAGATACAATAATTTTACCTCTGTAAAATCCAAATTTTGTCTTATTTAAAATCTAAATCAAATATAATCTGCTTCTTAATGTATGTTCTTTAAAATACAGCATGTGTTTTTTTAAAATATTATAATAATGCATAATTATGTGGACATGCATATTAGATCGTTTTTTAGTGAAATATAATCCCCCCAGAAAGGCAGGAAAAGCCCTGTAACTTACTTTAAAACTAAATATGTTCCCTAAAACGGTGACAGAGCTACAGACCCATGACAGCCTTACACAGGTAGCCAGCAGCTATGACCAGCACTACTTGTGCAGTTAATAAAAGGACAGGTAATGTTCGTCGCGCTGTTGCAAACACAGCACGCTCATTTGTTTCAGTTTGTCAGTTGCCACAAGACAACTTACCAACGTGTACGTAATAAGCCAATACTCCTGGGTGCTATACACTACAGTGTACGCTGTACACCTACTTACTGGTTTTGTTGCATCAGTCTGTATGGAAAAAATATAGTAAGTCTGTGTCTCTGAGTTAATTTGTGTTTCTCCTACAGCTCCGGACGGCAAAAAATGTGCATGCTCTTTGTGAGCTCGTTCCCGGCTCATAACCACCACGTTCTGCCGTCAAGGGCGATCATTGGTTAACCTCTTAAGCCCCAAGCCTACCTGATCTCCTGCCTTTTGCCCCCGTATCAGGGGGCGTTGGGGCTTAAGAGGTTAAATGTGATCATGTGACTGATGCAAGCCAGATCCTTTTATTTAGCAAAACCGTGATTAATAGTATATATTATTGTTGAGGGGCACAGACAGGACTCCGCACGCCCACACACGTAAAAAAATAAATAAATAAATAAATAAAAATTTTTAAAAGTTGCCTCAACAAAAGGGCACTTTGGGCACCCATCAGGAAAGATGCGGGTGCTCAAACCCCTCCAGCCCCCCCCTCTGCACGTGCCTGCTCCCATCTAATACAAAGTATGTCTGGTAAACCTGTCAGGGCTGCAGCTCCCACACATCCCACAAAGAGGACTCAAATGCAGGCACTTACTGAGTTGTGAGGGAGGTTTATTGCAAAAGTCAAACACAAAGAGGGCATTACAAAAACAGAACTAAGGGTAATCTAAACTGGGAGAAACATAACTATTTAACGGCAATCCTGAACACGAAGGGGGACAGCAGGGAGAGGACACAGTGGATTCACAGACAGTTTTCCGGGAGACGAACACAGACGGACCAGTCATGAGCACATAAGTTTTCACAACATAAAAACACACAGAGGGACACTGGGAAATCACACACACACAGGTGGGAGACACAGCTGGACCTGATTAACCTGACGAGACAGAGGAAACACTAACACCAGGGACCAACAGAGGGAGCACCAACCCAGAATCCCAGAACACAAATCATCCCAAACCTAGAACATCACAAATAATTATAATAATTATAATAATAATAATAATAATAATAATAATAATAATACACCAAACCCAAAATCACTGAGTACCAGGACTCCATGACAAAACCTTTATGCAGACAAAACTTTTAGTATATACTGAACCAGGTTTAGCACCAGATGCATTGTATTGTGAGATGTCCCTTATGTTTTCATAATTATTTTACAGTTTTGAGAGACGTGGAAAAAGACAGATAACTAAATATGCAAATGAATAAATACACACTTTGTTAACTCTAATGTGTTTTGTCCAGATCCTATTGGCTCTTTTCAAAGCGACACTGAAAAGCTAATGAAGCGAATTGCCAAGTTTAAACTTGGTAAGTATCTTATCCATATTCATTTGTTTCAAATACATAACTGATATTTTATAGCATAACAGACAGCTGTTATTTCTTTCTGCTGTATTTTAAATTTGATGGTATATCTATGTTCTGGGGAGTTTGGCCTCACTATTACATACACAGGACTCTTCAATGGAGAAAACAGTATTAAGACCACCCCTACACCTACAATTTAAGGCAAACCAGACATAAGTAGCAATAGTCAAGATGTTGTTGTCAGCCACAGAAGGGACTGGTGTGGTAGTGGGTTGCAAAGTAGCTTGCAGATGACCAGCAGCTGTAGTCAGGACTCAAATTAATGCCTATTTGTATTATTTTGTTCAGATTAATGCAAAGATTTGCTGTCACTGAATGAAGCTAAGAGGTCACATCACTATTGTAATCAATAATAGTATAATAAACAGCATTCTTTAAGTTGATAAAGAAAAGACTACATAGTTGGTTTTTAGTTTTATTTTATTAAAATACCACCAGTTTGCAACAACAATAACCTGAAGTCAACACTGTAAAAACTATATTGATAAACAGTAACAAAATAATTTTCCAATGGCACTGCAGTAGCTGTAAAGAACATATTATTTATTAACATTAATAAAATTCTCATATTTAGAGGTTTTACTTCAAAATCCAAATTTCTTTTTTGAGACAATTCATGGTATATTAGTAAAATAAAATTTAACCGAATAAGAATCTTTAGATAAGCTTTAGAAAAGGCAACAATTATTTTGCCAGAAAATATATCCTTAAGATTGCCTACAAGTAAATGTCTTTTTTCTAATTTTACTTTTCTGTGCTTTTTTTCAGCTGTAAACTATGATTTTGTCCAAATAGTTGATCAAAAATACTTTGTCTCCAACAAGCACAGAGGCAGTTTCTCAGAGGCTGTAGTGTTTTGCAACCAACGTGGTTTAGAGCTGGCGTTGCCACAGAACGCAGAGGAGAACAACGCACTGACTCAAGTTCATGGCAAATTCAGAGCCAAAGCCTGGATCAATGTGAACAATAAAAAAGCTGAGGGGGAGTTTAAAACTGACATGAAAAATCGACCTCTGACCTTTAAAAATTGGGGAGAAGGGCAGCCAGACAAATCCATTGAGGATACAGGCTGCACAATGCTGTCAGAAAACGGTTCCTGGCAAGTGACACATGAATGTTCTCTCAATGTCCACATCGTTTGTCAGTTATAGAAATGTCTCATGAGAAGAACTGCAAAAAACTCCCAAAACAAACAAACACAAATCCCACATTTATGTGTATATGTGTATTTTCAACTTTGCATGCTTAATCTAACTCTGTTTCAGCCTTCTTGTGTGTGATGGCAACTAAAGATTATGTAATGCCAAAAGTGACAAAGCAATGAAATAAGATCAAAATGATCCTTATGTTCCTTATTCAGACATGATACCTTTTATGTTTAATTTACATCAGTTCATCTAAATCATCTGTTAATGCAGGGTGTCTTTACATTAGAAAAACTACTTTTTCAGCTTTTGTTTTACAAAATATTTACTTTTGCCTAAGCATATTCATAAATACACTACATTGCTAAAAGTATTCCCTCACCCATCCAAATCACTGGATCAATCACTTCCATGGCAACGAGTGTATAAAGTCAGACACCTAGGCTGTAGACTGCTTATACAAACAATTATGAAAGAATGGGTTGCTCTCAGGAGCTCAGTGACTTCCAGTGTGGTATTGTGATAGAATATTACCTAACTAAATATTCCACAGTCAACTGTTAATGGTATTGTAACAAAGAAGAAGTATTTGCAATGACAGCAACTCAGAGTCAATTGCTACAAACCTCCAAACTTCATGTGGCCTTCAGATTAGCTCAACATCAGTATGTAGAGAGCTTCATGGAATGGGTTTCCATGGCTGAGCAGCGCATCCTTACATCACCAAGCACAATGCAAAGTGTCGGATGCTGTTGTGTAAAGCTTGCTGCTACTGGACTGTAGAGCAGTGGAGACATTTTCTCTAGAGTGACAAATCATGCTTCTCCATCTGATGGGTGGGAGAGTCTGGGTTTGGCAGATGCCAAGACAATGGCATTTGTCTGACTGCATTGTGCAAAGTGTAAATTTGGTGGAGGAGGGATTACAGTGCAAGGTCGTTTTTTAGGAGATGTACTCGGACCCTTAGTTTCAGTGAGAGGAACTCTAAATGTTTCGCTATACCAAGACATTTTGGTGCAAGCAAGACCCATAAAGACATGGATGAGCAGGTACGGTGTGGAAGAACTAGACCTCAGCTCGAGAGAACACCTCAGTGACGAATTAGAGCAGAGACTGCAAGCCAGGCTTTCTTGTCCTATATCAGTGTCTGACCTCACAAATGTGCTTGTGGGAGAATGGTCAGAAATTTCCGTAAACACACTCCAAGATTTAGTGGAAAGCCTTCTCAGAATAGTTGAGGCTGTTATAGCTGCAAAGGGTGGCCCAGCATTAAGAATGGTAAGTGAATGTGAACATAAGTGAATGTGGCTGCTCCCTTGGACACATAAAAGGGTAATTTCAGGTGTCATGTGACTTTTCTTCCGCACAATATGTTTTGTCCACTGTTAGGGCTGAAAAAGATTAAATAAAGCAGTTTTTACAAACACGTCACAGAGCTGACTTTGCACAAGAATGAGGAAGAGAACATCATACTAAATCAAGTTTTTGGATATATTTACAAAAAGGCCTGGATCAACACGAGAAACAAAAAAGTGTCTGTTCGTGTGTGTGAGTCTAAAAAAAATGACAAATGCGCAGAAATGATAAATTTGCTTAATAAATTGTTCTTAAATTTGGTTCATTGTTTGATTTCTTTTTTCTTCAGCTACAAGCTACAAGTTTGTCCAAAGAATTGGTCAGAAATACTCTTGCAAGGGTAGAGTTTCCTTCACCTTGTAGTCCAGAAATAAGAACTCTGCATGCATCAACACTTGAGCTGGCTGTGTCCCAGAGTGAGGAGGAGAACAGCGCATTGACCAAAGGGTGTGGGGGATGTTTGCACAGCAGCTTAGATCAATGTCAGAAATAACATGACAGAGGGGAATTTTGAGGTTAACATGAAAAACCAACCTCTGACCTTTGCCAAATGGGGAGATACAGGCTGCACCATGCTGTCAGAAAATAGCACCTGGCAAGTTACACTGAAATGCTTCCTTGAGTGCATTTGTCAGTTATAGCAGAGATATTATTATTTTTGTTATTGCAGGAAAGCTAACTGTGAGACACCAATTGATTTCCTCTTTCATAAAAAACTAATTAGCAGATGTTTATAGTTTTACAAATACTGAAATCCCATTAGTTCGTTATTTTTTGTTTTTAACACAAACACTTAATCATTCAGTCATCAATATATAAAGATGGAGATAGTGATTACAATGGAGATTTATAATCCACTCAGAATAAAATCTATAGCCTCCATTTTTCTAACTGGAAATTAAGTTGTCAGACTGTCAGTCAGTCAGACTTTTCAGCACACTAATCAATAATCACCCATTTGTCCTGTTGTAATTTGTCACACTGATACAAAAAATGTCTCCTAAAGTTGGATCTTGGAGATGATGTTAATAGTTGTTCACAGATTGACATTTAGTCACATAATAATGTCAAACATTCTGTGAGGTACAATGTCTGAAGTTGAAATTCTAAACCCTAACATATTTGGAACCAAATACTCTTGTGAATAGCCATGTGAAGCAGGCAGGGATAGACCCAAATGGAGACTCATTTGGGTGAAAAGGAAGTCAAAAAAGGCAGCTGAACTAAACTAAACAATACAAAAACCAAACTGAGAAATGTGTGACATAAGCAAGTGTGTGGAACACATGGTGGGGAATGAGGGCGATCATGACAACAGACGGAGGTAAACAGAGGATTTAAATACACATTTATTATTAAAATAGACATAACATAAAAAAAAAAATACATGTCCGAAGCACCATATCATCCCGTTATCAGACAGAACTATCACAGAACTATCACATGATCAAACAGAAGCTGTCAGTTCAGCTGTAAAGTGGTCAATCATAATGAAGCAGTTCATTATAAATTGTAGATTCAAGCTGCTCTTTTGGCCACCAGATGTCACCAAAGATAACTGTGTTGAAAAGCTTTGAGTAATGAACCGTTTTGCAGTACTTCAATGCTTAAGAAAGCTTAATTTGGCCATCCCTAGGAAGTGATACTCTACCGCAGAGAGCACGGACACCAAGTGACAAGACCACACATAGGAGTGCTTGTGTAAATCACCCTTTTGCCATTTTTATCCTGACTCAACAGGTCTGTTTAGCAAGTAGTTAGATCAGATTGATTTTGGCGAGCAGAATTCAGCTTTGAGATCAGAACTAACTGTGACAGCATGAATCAGCTGGAGCACTGTTGGACACATTCAAAGAATTTAATTGCGCAAGTGGGAATGAATGCCTGTGCCAGTGAAATTAAATTTTAGTGATGATGTTTTCTCTCATATGCCACTTTTAACCAATATATAATTCCGTACTCAAGTCATTATTAACATATTCCAATGGAATCAGAAGCAACCCTGCTTCCCAAGAGAATAGCCAGCTGTGACCATAAGTTAGCAGTAATTTAAAAGGTGTTGCAAACATGCAATGAGACAAAAGTGTAATTTTAAAGAATGTCAAAGAATAGTCTGGTCACACATAAAAAGGCTATAAGTAGAAGACCTTTGGACTCCAGAAGCAACAAAATTTTGACTCTAATGGGGTCTCAAAAACAATTACTTAACCAAAGATATTTTCAAAACTACATTAAAGCAGTAATTATTACTAACAGTTAAATGGATGCATTAAGAGCTGCTTTTTTCTGCCTCTTGTGCCTGTCACAAATTTTGACACAAGTAAAGATTTTACTGTTTATCTGGATTCATAATGTCTCCCTGTGTATAATTACTATACATGGATTTGGATTTGCTGTCTGTGCAACAATTCTCAGGGACCACCTTGGAGATGCAATTCACTTTAGAAACATATTATCGTAGACATTTTTCATGCACTGATAAAGAAATTATGAAACAAATGAAAACACAAAAACACAACAAGCCTATAGGCTTAACAACCAGTTAAGTTAATTGTTTGCAACAAGTTGACGACTGTTGCATTGTTTCCAAAACTGGAAATCTGAAGCTCATTTAGTAATCTTTATCATCAACTTGGCCCCATATGTCTATGTCAATGTCTTTGCTACACTAAGTTCAACATGTTTGAAGTTTTAAATGTTCAAAACAGACCCAAGCCAAGTATTTATATGTTTCAGAAACATACATTTTGTGAGTGTGGTATTTTTATTGCATGAAAACTATGCTCTGTGTCACCATACTTTGTTTCACACTGAAGTTTGTCTGCACAAATACCTGAAGAAAGACAGTTTTTTGTCTTAAACCATGCTTTATTTGTGGTGGGGAAATAAAGAGTGCTGAAAAAATATTAATCTGGAAAGTAGGTTGTGCTTCAGCACAAGAGGGAGGATTCTACATTCTGACATTCTTTTCTATCCCAAATGGGATTTTGTAGCTGTTGTTTACTTTGGAGAGAACGATCCCTCTTACATTAGTTCTACCTAATATCTCAGTTATTTTGTTGGGACATTAGCAGTGAGGCAGTACACCCAACAGACTGCTCTTCATTTATATTGTAAGTACTTTCCTGCTTATTGCTTTATTCTACTAAATTTAATGTTATCATGAGTGTTACATATTGTTTGAAGTATTGCTTGACATTCTAAACACATACCTAGAAAATCCCCCGGAGCTACGATCAGAATATTTAATACAATCTCTCTTTTGAATGATCAGATTTCATTTTTGTTACACATTGAATCAGTCAAACCAAGGTAAATCTGGGAAAAACGTACATTACATATATTTTTAATTATCATTTCAGTTCTTCACTGAGAAGATGAGCCCACTTCTTTTTTTGTGTATCTTGTGCCTGTTGGCCCGCATCACCTACACTCAGTTTCCAGGTCCTCCTGGTCTTAAAGGTGAGAAAGGAGATTGAGGAGTTTCTGGGACACAAGGAGTGCCTGGACCACGTGGGCGAACTGGAATTCCTGGACTGCCTGGACGTCCTGGTGAAATAGGTCAAAAATATTATGAGTTCACTAAATGACTTCTTATCATCGTTTGATTTTGACACATATTTATGCAATTTGACTTAAGAAGGCTTAATGTCTGTTTCTTTGCTTTCAGGGGGAGTAGGAATAGATGGGCTTCCTGGGCACCCTGGAGAAACAGTGTGCACTGAAGGTAAAGAGAAGATACAATAAGATGAGAAGATCCCATGTAGCATACTGATATTAGTCTCAATCTGTGTCAGACAGCACAAGATCAGTTTGATGACAGATTGCACAGTGAATTAGTTGATGCTCTGTAATTTAAAACAAAAATAGACCACACAAACTCATCAGCTCCTTTCATTCCTGTTGTACGCTCACAATTTAATTTCAGCTACAGTTGAATCCACTTGCCCAGATGTTGAAACCTTAAAAAGCAGACTTGCTGAGTTAGAACTGGGTAAGTATCATCATCAAGGCATTATTAATTATGTTTATTTAAAACTTTTTCAAAGACCATCCGTTAATAATTTGTTGTTGCAATTTACAACAAGTCCAGTGTTTTTGCCTGATGTTACAACTTGATCAACATTAAAAAAGTTAGTTGATTAACAGTTAGCAGCAATAAAAAAAACAGCTGATCAGAACATCAAAGCTAAAAACATTTGAAGATGACTGATGAATTGGCATTTTCATTTAGAAGCCTCCAGAGATTTTGGGTATGGTGTGTGATCTTGTTCCTACAAGCTCTGTGTTTTTAAAATTTGATTTTACTTGCCTTTCTTGTATATAACTATGACAAATGCACCATGTAG